GAGGGGTCAGTCCTCTGAGAAATCAGGGGAGAAAAGTAGAAAGCACAAGGGGCCCATCTTCTGAGAGAGTCCCGGGACTCTGTGTTCCTTTCGAGTCGAACCGCCTGCACATTCAACTTTCCCTAGTAACTTTCCCCTCAGTAGCCAAACCAACACCCCTGTCGGCTGGCACGAAAACCTCTTAACTTTGTCAGAAGGTAAACCACGGCTAAAAGTGTGGTTATATTTGGAAATCCCCAGTATCTTCCACGTGAAATGACCACGGCGGTGGAAGGGTGTTCTCTGGAGGAGGGGTCCAGCAAGTTCTCCAGGGTTGTCTGGGCAGATGAGTTGATCAAAGCGAGTAGGTTCAGAGGTTAAGTTGGCTCACCTTCCTTGGTGAAATGCATGCTGCAATCTTGTAAGGGGTTAGGGGGCCGGCCGGGGGCTGCTTTGTTTTGTTTGGTTTTGTTAGGGGAGGTTTTATTTTGAGCCACATTTTACATGAACCGGATAAGAGTTTCCTAAACCCTTGGAATTGAAAGGCCTTTTTAATGAGCACTGATTAAAATAAACTGACGTGGCAGCAGATTATATTTGGCAAATAGACATCGGAAAGCAAATATCCCGACTTCCTGGGCAGGGAGCAGCACTGGCACTTTTCCTGACTGTGACTAATCAGGGGCTTGTCAGGTTGTGGGGGAAGAAAGTCCCCCCAATAGGTGAGGGGGCGGGGCCCTCTTGCTGTGGCCAATGAAGGCTGAGTGCACAGAGGAGCCCAACTGAGCCAGAAACGAAAGGCGAGGAGGTGGTGTTGACTCACCTCCAGCTCGGCTGATGCATTCTTTATTTACATGGGGAGAGATGTTTTTATAATGCGCTCCTAACAGCCACGGCAGGCAGACTCGTTGCTGACATGAGGCTCCAGCTGGTGTGTGGATCAACATGTGGGACGGACGGGCGCAGGGGGAAGGGGAACTGCTGAACGCTTTGAAAGTGTTTCGAGACTTGTTCAGGTCTCTGGAGGCATCAGAATTGCTGAGAGACTTGATTCTTTCCTGGAAACAAAGCCCCCCTACTCGGGAAGAAGTGGGGTTTGGGCCAAAAGTAGTACCGCTGAGGCAAGCTTCCCCAGCCCCGGGTACTCACTCACACACTCTAAGGGTGGGGACAGGGCTGGGGAGGGTCTGAGAAAGAAGAACAAAGAGCCCCCCCTCCGGAGCCAGTGTCTTCCTTGACAAGGCAGCAAGGACAAATACACAACAAGGCGGACGCAGGACTGCAGGGAGCTGCCCCATCTCTTACAGGTGACAGGGGAAGCTGGAGCCAGCCTAGGGCAGGAGCTGGGCTGCCTTTTGCAGAGGGCTTTGTTGGCAGAGGCTGTGAGAGGCCCCAGAGAGGGGGGATGGCCGAGCGAGCGGGCTCGGTTAGGAGCTCCAAGGGCAGAGCCTGGGAGCCGTGCATTGTGTTTCCACCAAGCAGCCAGGAGGCCTGCTTATCTCTGGCTGATAGCTGTGTGTCTCGGTGGGACAGGAAAGAGGAGGCTCATGCATAAACAGACCCCGCCCTCCTCGGGGGCTTCCCGGGTGAGACTGCTTACTGAGGTTATGAAGCCGAAGCCCTGGCTTTTCAAGGAGAAGGCACCAATTTCCACTGGAGAGCCCTGCTCATGTTTCCCTACCCCAGGCGCTGGGCGGAGGCCACTCTGCTGCAGAGGAGTCCGGCTCTGCGACCCTTTGCGGTGCGAAATGCAAACCATGTGTGTGCCCCGAGCTTTCCTCCCTCCCCAAAGCAGTGTGTACTTGGCATGAAGAGTGGGTTTGGCTAGAATGCAGCGGGGTGTGTAATGAAAGGGGGCAGGGGATACTCAATACTCACGCTGCCCTCCTCAGCCACCCTCAGGGCGGAGGGTGAGTTGTTCCCTGGCAAATGCAGCCCTCCCTCCCAGCCACCCCCTATGCAGGCAACCAACCCCCTTCCCCACAATGCTTTTTAGAGCACCTCCCCCTCCCCCTTCCTGGGGGGGGGGTGTTGACTGTTGGGTGCGCATGGCCATCTCCGGGCGGTGGTTGGGAAAGTGCTGTCTAATGAGTGACACCACCCCCACCCCCACCCCTACCCCCGCACAGCAGGAGGACTCGCTGCCTGGTCCTGTGCCATCTCTAGGACTGGTTGTAGATCAGACAGTTGTGATGCACATGGTTTTCACCGACTGTGTTTCCGTGGTAGATTGCCAGGCCTTTCTTCCTGGTCTCTCTCGGTCTGGGCGCTCCTCTGAAACCTGTTCAGCATGGAGCAACAGCCAATCTTCCACTGACAGACACATAGGGTGCACTGGCCAGGACTCGAACTCCGGTCTCCCACATGGTAGACAAGAATTCTACCACTGAACCTCTCCTCTCTACTGTAGCTAGGGCAACATCTAGACTTCGTTGCCATATTTTTACGAAGTGCATCCTGTGCAAAGGCCCAAGGTTCTCTGATGGCATTTAAAGGTCTCACCCCACTGACTCTCCAGTGGCGTTGTGCACACGGGCTGATCACTTGGATCACACAGTACAGATGGTCCCAGATCCAGGAGACTTGGTGTCAACTGACAAGTTTTCACCACTGTGACTGCATGTTTGCTTAAAAGCATCCCCCCTTCCACCCTCCCCGCACCGACCCCAGCAAGAGGCCTCGTGGTACGCTCTAACCATCCAAGGCCTGGTGCTTGGATGCTGCTTCTGCACAGGCTTGAGAATATCACGGACCAAAGCGGCAAAGGAGAAATGTTCCTTTCAGTGATATACACGCGTAACGCGCATCACTCTCTCTTTCTTAACTGCAGGGGAGACAGCAGGGAGACGGCAAGTCCCCACCACCCCGCCAGCCTCGGAAAACGGCAGCGCGGCCCACAGCATCGGCAGCACACAGAGCACGCCCTGCTCCAGCAGCAGCACTGCCTAGCCCGGCCTCCGGTGCCTGCGCCCGACTTGGAAGGCTTCGCTAGGGCTCCCTTGTAAAGAGCGAATTTCAATGTAAAACCACCTGATGTATTCACCCCCACTCACCCACTCACCCAGGGCTAAGGTCAACCCTGACTCCTGGACTTCTGACTTTCACGCTAGAATTCATAGGAGGAAAGCAAAGATGGCGGCCTTTTCCACCGGCCCCTTGTGGGCTTGGGGGTTCTCAATGTGAAACACGCGCCAGTTTTAAAAATGCTGCTTTGTCCAGGTCAGAGACCAGGAATGTGTGGCCCTGAGACTTACTCAAGAGGTTGGTAAGCTGTTACTAGAACCCGTGGGAAGTGTGGTCAAAGATTCTCATGTGTCTAAGCCAAGATGTTACAAGAAGCACGTAAAGACTGCCTAAGCATCCTCCGGGTCTCCTGTGCACCTTCTCGTGGGTGCACTTCTTGCCCTTGCTGCCTGATGGGTGCTGGCCTCCGGGCCTGCATCCTGACGCCGACCAAGGCGACATTCCTTTCTTGTGCTCTGGGCCAAAGCCAGCGCTGATGAAATCATCAGCTTCTCGGTTCTCCGTACTCTTGCGCACCAACTGCAAAAGAAAATGTGTTTATGCGAAATTCGCATTTCTTTATAGACATAGAGTGATTGAAAAAATGGCTGAATCTTGGGATGGAGGATGTGTGCCCCTTGATGACTTCTCTTTTGACTACTAGATAAATTGGGGCAAAATTCAGTTGTAGGGTGGAATTTGTGGGGGATAACTGAGGGGGCGTTAAAAAGCTCCCACAGAAAATGAGATGAAAAGATGATGGCAATTTCCCCTGCCTCCTCTGAAGCCCCCTGTAGGCGTTGAGTGTGTGCAAGTAAGATGTTATCTGGACATTTAGGTTTCCAAGTGGAAGAGAGAATCATTCCCCATCTGAAAACCCGCTGTGCTTGCAGAGTGGGGGCGCATTCCGCCGTACGTTCGGCAGAATGAGCGTGTCGATCTTTCGGTAAAAACCACACTCTGCAAAGTTGCAAACACACGGCAGGTCCCGTTCGCCTCCAGGCAGTTATTGGGACGGTGTCACCGGTTCTGCCCAGAACATCTGTGGAAAGGGGCGCTCGTTTGGGAGGCTACAGTTCTCTTGCCTGAACATATCCCAAACTGAGAAAGGATTTCCTTGGCGGCACAATATGATGCCACTTTGCCGCCGACTGGTCCTCTATGTCAGAGGAGAAGGCCAGAGGGGAGCTCCGTGCCAAATCACTCACTGGGGACAGTGCCACGGAAAACCAATAGGATTCTTTCCCCACAACCCCTCTCAACTCAGAGACTGGGCTAGATTCTCTTCCAAAATAGTCACATGCAAATCTCACCGCCCTAAAATTCAGAAGCGCCGCCTGATTCTCAGGGACTGGAACCTGAAGGAGGACATGTTGACGACACTCAGTGCCCTGGAGCAGTGTCTGCAGGACAGACAAGGAGGTCCAGGCCACTGTGTCACCCCGCCGCGAATACTCGTGTGACCAAACACTGATCACACTAGACTTCAGAGGTCCAGACTGTCCACGTCGATATATGAGAGGAGGGCTTCAGCAAGCTTGTGGGGAAAATCCATTATCTTTCAATTCCATTTTTCCATAAACTTTTTGGAAACCCTCTCATTGAAAATCACAAGTATCCACATGCAAATGAAGAAGGTGTGAGATCAGAGGATAGTTCTTTTTAAAAAGATTTTTATTTTATTTTAACATAGGGGTACCGGGATGGAAGACCCAAATTACGCTCCCTGTGATCGAAAATAATGCGCTTTGCCTAACCTTCAGCTGAATGTATTGTTTAAGCATATTCTATGTATAAAAAAAGTTTAAAGATGTCTTCAAGGAGAACTAGAGTCTTGAAGTCACATATAGCTATATTTTACTACAAAAAGTTGTGTATAGAGATATATTTAAGTGTTGTAGATCATTTTAAGTTACTCCATATGAAATGGTTGATTTCAGCTACTGTGAATTCTCTTGATTAGTTCTTTACTTTGAAACAAAACAAAAAAGCAAAACAAACCCCTTTCCATCTTGTCTAAAAAGGAAATTCACTAGTAGGAGGTATTAAAAGATCCACTTCTTACACAGATAGGGTTAAAACATTTTGTAATCTATTTAAATGTATTTTTTGAGAGATAGGCTACATTACCAATAATTTTATAAATACCTTTTATTTACAAATTTGTAGCTGCATATTTAAAAAGATTTCTCTCAAAAGAAAAGGGGTAAGTTACCTTTTATTTCTGATTAAGCAGATTTTTCTGGACCAGCTTGTCAGAAGTATTATGCAAATCAAGATACCTGTGTTGATGAAATCTGACCCCATCCTAATTGGAGAGTGAATGTCATTCAGCACTTCTGAAGTGTTTCTTAAGATGAATGTTTTAAAGGGTGGGGAGAGGGAGGGAGGGGTGTTCTCCCTCGCTTCTTGTTACAGCATTTCCATTTCCCATTACTACTTTGAACTTTACAATTTTAATACAGAATGCAAGCTCTACTTTTATAAGATATTCTGAAAGTGTCTTTAAACTGTTGTTCTGTTCCAACCAGACCCCTCTCTCTGCAAGCTCTTGTTGCCTCTGCGGGCTAAACCATCCACAGAGGCCACTGTATTTTGTTTGTTCAGTGCCAGAGCTATTGCTGAAATGCTTTTCAGCGCTAAGGCAGACTCCTCGCCTGTGTACTGCTCTCACCCGCTCACCACGTGGTGTTTGCCAGCGGTTACTCTGTATGTTCAAAAGCCAGAGATGCCTTCTGTCTACGGTGTTTGTGTAGCATTTTCTAAACAACAACAACAAACGGTCCTTTCTTTGTCCTGCCATAAGATTGTAAGCCCGTGTCCTGTGTGAGTTCTGGAGCGAGCGGGCCTGCGTGGGAGTGGGAAGGGCCTCTTGTAAAGTAACTACCTCATGGGCTGAGTGGTGCCTCTACTGCTGGTTGCGTTGGCACCACACAGTTTGTTGGTGAGTTGTGTGTGTGTGTGTGTGTATGTGTGTGTGCGTGCGTGCGTGCGCACTTCTTTTGCCTATTTGTTTGATCTGGGGGTTGTTCATGAAAAACTGACAGATGTTCTTCTAAAAACAGACTATTATCAGTTTCCAACACAATACTGCTCTCTTCTGGTTTGTGTGTTTGTTTGTTTTCCTGAATGAGCCTGATTTTATTGTTGTTTTTCATCATGTTTGAGGGTAAAAAGAGTACCCGTAAAATCCCTGTGGCCAGTTTGAACACCCCTGTTATATTCTTTTCTCTGTTTAGTGTGTCAGCAATTTTGTGAACAGGCTTTAGATGTATAGTTTTGATAACCACCGTTTTAAGTATTTTATCTGTGCATAATAAAGATATATATATATATCAATAATTCATACATGTCTTGTCATCATTAAGCTCTGTCACTGTGGGCTGATAGAACGACTACATTGTGTCTTTTGTCTAAATGACTGCGGTGAGGAAGAGGAGGGAGGGAGGAGACTCGGAGGCTCTTCAGGGCTGGCCAGCCCAGAGGGAAGTGGGGGTAGGGTGCAGGGCAGACTGCTCAAGAGCTGTCCCACTTCTCAGACCTAAGTGACAGGAAACCTGGCAGTGGGGGTAGACTGAGCCAGCCTCAGTCTGGCTATTCCTGCACCATCTATTAACCTCCTCCAAGCCAGAAAGGGGAACAGATCTGTGTTTGCTGTCAGCAACTTAGAGTTGACCGCCAACACGATGACTGCATGCACAAGAGGATGACATGCTGCCTGGTTCGCTGCTGCCCCCATAATTGGTATGTGTCAGGCCAGGTTGACTAGAGAAACCCATTCATAGACCCTCATGTGTATAAGAAAGAGCTTTATATAAAGAATAATTATACATTAAGAAACACCTCAGCCCAGTCTAGATCAAGTCCATAAGTCCAATATTAGCCCATATGTCTGATAGCAATCTATAAAGCCCTCTTCAGACTCATGAAACACATGCAATGATGCCGAAGGAAGGAAAATCACATGCCAGTGGGTGGGAAGTCTTGTGGATCCAGTGGCATTGTAAGCATCTCAGCACTGGCAGGGTGTCCACGTGGTTCCTCCAGCTCAGGGTACTAGCGTAGTTCCATGTGTCTTGTCAGCTTCAGTGTCTCCCAGGGAGTAAGCTGAGAGAGAAAGTGTCTCTCACCTCCAGGGAGGAATATAGGAGTCCCCAGACTCCTCAGGAGAAGGCCATGCCCACACAGAGGCCTCATGGACTATGACCTGATTGACAGGCTAGACTCCACCCCTTCACTCTTAATCCTCAATTGACACCAGATTATGTAACTACCATACATATCAAGAAAACATCCCAGCCCAGTCCAACTCAAATCCATAAGTCCCTCTTCAGACTCACATGCCACCTGCAGTGACGCAGAGTGCAGAAAGAACACAGGGTGATGGGTGCAGAGTCCTGTGGACCCAAGGCCGGTGGATACATGGCAGGGCTGGGGCAACTCTCAGCCCTCTCCGTGGCAGAGAGAGGGCGGGGGTGGGGAATCCCAGGGTCCACCTTATAGCAGACCATACCTCCAGAGAGACCGCCTCAGGCTGTGACTTGATTGACAGGTTTGACTACACTATATGCATCTTCAGGTTGACAAAGTTTCAACTACATGGTACCATAGGGTTTTCGTTTGCTAGTTTTCTGAAGTAGCTCACCAGACCTTGCTTCCTGGCCCATCATGGTCTGGAAGCCCCTCAGAAGTCTCCACATCTTGACTTCCACAGACCGGTGGCTGGTGGCTATGTATGAAATGCATTGGCTGGAAATCGAACCCCGGTCTCCTGCATGGAAGCATTCTACCCCAGTACCATCACCGTCCCTAATGGGTCTCTAGGATCGACTTGTCTCATCCTCTCCTAATCCACACCATCTTTTCCAGCATTTTTTATTTCAGTACGGCACCAACATCTTCCAATTGCCCACAGTACTCCTTGATTTCTCCTTGGCTCCTTCGCCCCTACATTAATATGTCCAAGTGTTATTCTATCTTTAACTAGCTTCCAATCACTTCTTTTTACTCCCACTGCTATGACCTACTGTCCAAGCCCCCATTAGCTCTTGAGCTGCATTTCTGTAACAGCCTTCTAACCAGTCGGGCCACGTCTAGGTAGTAGCTCCCCTCTAACTCTTTTCTCCACAGTGCAGCTGCAGTGACCCTGAAGGGGCTCAAATCATATCACTCCCCAGGTCACAGCCTTTAAGTAATGCCCCCTTTGCCTTGAGGATGAAATTCCAACTCCTTAGCATGGTTTAGAAGACATAGTCTAGCACCGTCCACCCTTCCAACCACTTCTCTTGCCTCTCAGGAGCTCAGGCTCGGCGGCACTGACGTTCTGAACGTCTTCGGCTCCTCCCTGTGTCTGGTTCGCTGGATGCTTCCTAACTTTGGACTCCGCACATTCCCCACCAGGCAAGTTTGTATGATGAAAAGAGCCATCGTCTTTCACCGTCAAAGTTTAAATCAACATTGAAAAGGGTTTTGCTAGCCACACTGCCATCACCCTAATTCCTACTCCTCTGAGATGAGTACCTTGGGTGGTTTGAACAGCTCATCACCGGGTGCCCCCCAGAAGAGCTCTGGGGTCTTGCTCTAGAGTGCGCATCACTGGTGAGAGTCCAGCTAGTTTTTAAACCGTATTCACCCGAGAACCAGGTCCTCCCTCAGATGACAAGCCTCCTGCCATGAAGTTAATTCTGGCTCAAAGTGACCCTACAGGATGGAGAACTGCCCCATAGGGTCCCCAGGCTGGAATCCTTAGGGAAGTGGACTGCCTGGGCGGGGCTGACCTTCCAGTTCGCAGCTGAGCAGCGTGGAGGAGCCCTGATGCCACTGGCTTTTCAGAGGACCCGAGGGAGAAAAGGCAGGTTCACGCACCTGTGTGCCAGGACCCTCTCCTTTTGTCTGCGGGAGCGCAAGCCTACGAGGCCCAGAGCTGGGCGCCAGGGCGTCTGCGAGGCGGTCTAGTGTGAAGTCAGTTCTCACTCATGACGACCCCGTGCGTGCGGAGTAGAATGGAGCCCCAGAGGGTTCTTCTTGGGGACCTCCAGGGGGTCCGTAATGGGGCGCCCCACCATTTATGCCACCCAGGGCCTATGCACCACCTTAAACTGTCAAGTTTTGCGTGGGTGTATCTGGGTTTCTTGGGCACGTAATAGAGGTCGTGACTTATTTTTGTAGTAACATTACTTAAAAAATCATTTTCTTCCCCAATCACAGGAGAGCTATGAGTCAGGATCGACTCAATGGCAGAGATGGGTTTGGGGAGGGGGGTATGCACTTCATATAAAATGAATGCAAGCAACGCAGCCATGTGGAGCAGGGGAAAAGCCTGTCATCCTCCCACTTAGAGAGAATCGGACTGATTTGATATTTATGTTCCCAGGCATTCTTTCCTTGTGCTTCTATCAAACCGCATTCTCTGGGACCCTGTGCCTGTGGTGACAGCGTGCTATGCTGACACTGTGTGCTCGCCGTCTCACAGGCATCTCCTACAAGTTGCCTCGGATCAGTGCCTGTCCTTGCTGCCTCACTTGCCTGTATTCTTGGTGCTGGGGGTCCATTTTGACTCACAGTGGCCACTCGTGACAGAGTCGAACTGACCCCAGGATTTCCTAGGACGAGCCATTTGGAGAAAGATGCGGCTGTCTGCTTCCATCAGGAGACACAGCCCCGGAAACCCTGTGGGGCGGTTGTGCTCTGTTTACAGGGTCGCTATGCGTTACAATCCACTCCGTGGCAGTGAGGGATTTGTTTTTCCATTTAATTACTTGCAGGAGTAGATTGGGCTTTCAAAGTGGTTCAATCTGCCAACCTTCCAGTTAGCAGCCAGGGCTCCTCACTTTCCTAATCCAAACCCAACTCACTGCCGTCAAATGGACCCCAACTCAGCGCTCCCTATAGGACAGGGGAGAACCGTGCCTGTGGATTCCTGAGACTCTATCTCTACGGGAGCAGAAAGTCTCCGTTTCTCCCATGGAGTCGCTGGTGGCTTCGAACTGCCGACCTTCGGTTAGCGGCCCAACGTGTGCTCCACGATGCCACCATGGACCTGGTAGGAGGGAACCGATATGAAGATTTTCTATCCTCCTTCTTCCGCTCCTTTCAGCCCTGTCTCTGGAGAAACTGATGCGAATGGCCTCTCCTCAAACTGAGACATACCAGACATGTTTACAAATAGAGGGGGCGGGGCTTGTTTGTTTGTTTACTAAGAGGTTGGATCATACTTCCCATGTCTCTGCCTTTTTCAGCTAACATGGGCCTCCCTCAAGGTGAATAGCTAGAGAACACATTAATTGCTTTTTAATGGCTACAGAATATGCATGAAATAAATATCATTTCATTGTTAATGGACATGGGGGCTCTTTTGGCCGGGATCCCCATTTGAGTGAGGGTCTTGGCTACATGCCCTGGCCTGCCGCAGCTGCAAAGCCACAGAGGGAAGTCAACAGAATCACCACACTAGGAGATTTGGAACAACACATCACTCGCAAAAGTTGATCAATCAAAAGGACAGATTTGGCTAAGGGAAGATTTGAATAACCCAATTAAGAAGCTGTATCATAGGAGCATTCCTAGGATCCCTGATGCCCACATTTGGCAACTTGACACATAAGGATCATTTACGAATATCAGCTGTGGCTGGGACCTCGTGGGGTAATCAGCAGAACTGACCACTCGGATCCAGTTCTCTAAACCGCGTGCAAGGAGTTGCGGAATCAATAACAAAGGGCTGCTAAACTATTCAGTACTTTAAAACTTTCCTAACGGCGCTTTGCTCAAAGAATAAATCACAACAGAAATTCGAGAACACAGACTTGGGCCAAAATGAACATACTACATTCAAGCAAGTAACTCAACCAATCATTTCAGAGAAATGATTGGCTTTCAAATGCTTGTCCTGCACAAACAGAAGGGATCAAAATGAAAGCGCAGCCAACATATACAATTAGAAAAAAAAAAAAGTAAAAAACAAACGATCTACAAAAACTATCACCCATACAGTTAGTTGGCAAACAACAATAACAAAATGCAAACGGGCTGCCATTGAGTCAATTCTGACTCACTGGGCCCAAGTGTCAGAGGAGAGCTGTGCCCATGACTGCAAAGCTAAGGTTTTGTAAAGAGGACCACCGGGCCTTTTCCCCAGGACAACGCTGAGCGAGCTCAAACCCCCAAACTTCCACTTGCCAGCCAAGAAGCGTAACTACTCGCTCCCAATATGAATATGAATATGAATATGAAGTCAACGTAAACAAGCCAACATGCATCCCTGGTTGTTTGCTGCTGGGTGCCACAGAGCCGGTCCTGCCTCACAGCAGCTGTGAGTCCGACAGACGGCAGCGCTGCCTG